GAGGAGGAGGAGGAGGAGGAGGAGGAAGAGGAAGAGGAAGAGGAGAAGGAGGTAAAGGAGAAGGAGAAAGTAGAAATGGAGGAGAAGGAAAAAGAGGGGGAAAAGAGGAGCAACTAGCAGCAGGAGGAGGAAATGAAGGAAAAGGAGAAGGGAGGAGAAGAAAAGAGAAGGAAAAAGCAGAAGGAGGGGAAGGAGGAGGAAGAAGAGGAAAGGAGAAGGAGAAAGGAGAAGGAGACGGGGGAGAAGGAGGGGAAGGAAGAGGAGGAGGAGAAAAAAGGAAGAGGAGAAGGAAAATCAGAAGGAGGAGGGGAAGGAGGAGAAGGAGTGAAGGAGAAGAAGGAGGTGGAGAAGGAGAGGAAAGAGAGGGATGAGAAGGAGAAAAGAGATGAAAGAGAAGAAGAAGGTAGAGGTGGAGGAGAAGGAGATGATGGAAAGAAGGTGCTGGCTGGGGAATTCTGAAGTCCACCCATCTTAAAGGCACCAAAGTTGAGGAACGCCAAGCGAGGGGCTGACCTCTGCTTCTGAGAGGGCTTCCTCTGGGCCACCCTTTCTAACCAATGAAGCTAATCTCATCGGGGTGAAAAAGAGCTTTCACCTCGAATTCATGATAGTCTGGAATAAACAGGATAAACACCTTCTCCACACGCGGACAGTGAGTTAGCTTCCTTCGCCTCTCCGTATCTTCTTTTCCTCAAATATTTCTCCATCTCTCTCTCCTCCCCCATGGGACCTGTCCTCATTAAGGACCATCCTTCCTCGTGGCCTCCTTACCTGACGATGCTCCACTCAGGTTCGATCCTCAAGATCGTTGGGTCCTCCACGTATTTGAACTTCAGCTCCTTGTGCATTTTGGCCTTCTCCAGCTCCTTCCGCAGCGTGGCCTTGTCCACCTTCACCGTTACGTCCACCATATTCTTCTCCACCACGCTCCCGAAAGTCGTGGTGTTGCAAATAATGTATTCTGCCGTTCTCCTGTCGGGGAAAAAGGAAAGAAAAGAAAACGGGCTTTAGAAAAGGCGGGAAAGTCACGGGGAGATTCCGCGTCCTCCAGGTTGTCCNGGTAGATTTGACGAACCGGTTCTACCGAATAGGTGCGAACTGGTAGGAACCCACCTCTGTCCTGGGGGCTGGAGAGGACAAACACTTTTTTTTCTTACTTGCCTCTTCAAAATCTTGGTGCGTCTTATAGTCCGAAAAATACGGTGAATCCTCAAATTACAACAGTTCGTTCAGTGACTGCTCAAAGTTACAACAGCACCGAAAAAAGGAACTTCCGACCATTTTTTTCACACTTACGACCGCCGCAGTTTGGACGCTTGGTAACTGTGATCCCCTTCTGACGAGTCAAGCCAACGGGGGAGCCAGATTCACTTAACAACCGGGTTAACTAATTTATCACCTGCAGTGGTTCACTCAACAACTGAGGCTAGGAAGGTTGTAAAATGGGACCAAACGCACTTAAGAAATGCCTCGCTTAACCACAGAAATCTCGGGGCTCCGTGGTGGTCGTAACTCGAGGACTGCCTGTAAACTTAGGTTGTTGCAAAGACAGCTATGGAAAAGAGACCATGGTGAGAAAAGGATGTTTGGGGAGTAGGAAGTTATCACCCACCTCTCTCCTAGAAAAATGAAATATCCTGGGAAATATTGGAAAGGCAGAATATTATATTTCCCTGGATAAGAAACATGTTTTTAGGCAGGAAAAAGACTCACTCTTAATAGCCCCCACCTTTGTCGATGGGCCATTAAAGAGCCTGAGCTAGCCTACTCTACATAACAAAGGTAGGATTAACCTCCCACAGAAACTCACCACATGGCCTCTGGGAACTCAACCAAGCTTGGGACCCACAACCTACAAAGTTAGCTAAGACAGACAGACAGACACACACACACACACACACAGAGTCCTGGAGTCTGACTACCAAACAGAATACATTTCTTACACAGGAACAGGAAATAGAGAGGTGGGGGCTGAACAGGGAGTATAAAAACCCCAGGAACTCTCAGCAGCCCCCTTTTCCCTCTTTTTCTTCTTCACCCAATATCTGGAAGCATGTGATCCCCCTTTTTTGTTCAGGAACTCAAGCCATGGGATCCTATCCACCATTAAACCATCTTTGCAAGCAGCCTCCATGTTTCCAGTGTCTTTTCCCCCCACTTGGAATTACTGAACCCAGAAGGACATTTCTTCCAAACAGGGGTTTGCTGAAATCTGCAAAACTTTTAATTGATTGAAAATCAATGCAGCGAATGAATTTGCTGGAAGACTTTTACCAAATTGGAAAATTCAGAGCCATCCTGTTTTTCAAGAGCAATTGCTCTCTAAGAAAAAAAAATAGTCTTCTTTTTTTAAACTGAAAAAACGTAAATAGAGCACAACCTTGAATTTATTCCATTATAATAACCACAATCTGTCCTCTTAACAGCTGAAAGCTCCTTTAGATAGATTTTTTTTTTGAAATAAATGTATCCCCAAATCTGTTAAACTAGAGGGGAATGAAGAATTATTATTTTTTTAACTCGGAGATATAATTAGGCGTAGAGAGATGTGTGAGTTTCAGTTTATCTCTTATTTTTTATTTTCTCCTCATTTTACCTTCACTCAATCCTGCATCATTTTGCACACACCCTCCTTCAATTCATCTGCATTTTTATGCACATTTCCCTAATAGATGCAGTTTTAAAAGCTGTTTCTACTTACTTTTTTTTTTTTAAAAACCACTAATGTATTCAAGGACAGGAACATATCCCTTCTCGGAATTTCACACCTCGGCTCAAACCCACCCAAGACATGTTTTAAAATGTGAACTTTGAAACCAAATTGGATCAAACCTGCTTATGCAAAACTGGAAGCCCTTTTTAAATGCAAATTAATGCAATAATGAGACGAACAGACCTGGGGAATGAGCACCTGTTACAATATCATGGGTTGGGGTGGGGAATGATTTCTCCATTTGTATGTCCTCCGAGGAGAGGGTGAGTTTCGATTCCAAGTTCCTAGACCTGGGCAGATACGCTGAAGTTGCTATCACTGGCTGGTGTGTGAATCTGCTCATTCGGAATTAAAAGAGTTTGGTGAACTATGAAAGCAACAAGGCTAGAAACTGGGAGATTGTGAGTTCTGGTCCTGGTTTAAGCAGTTGAGTGATTTTGGACCAGACACACACTCTCAACCGCTACGAAAGAAAGGCAGGGCAAACCATTCCTGAAAAGGTTGCCACCAAAATGGGAGGAGGAGGAGAAGGAAAAGGAGGAGGAGGAGAAGGAGGAGGAGGTGGAGGAGGAGGTGGTGAAAGAGAAGGAGAAAGTAGAAATGGAGAAGGAGGAAAAAGGTGAAAAAGGAAGAGAAGGAGGAAGAGGAGGAGGTGAAGGAGAAAGTAGAAATGGAAGAGGAGAAGAAAAAGGAGGTGAAAAGGAGGAGGAGCTAGGAGGAGGAGGAGGAAGAGGAGAAGGAGGTGAAGGAGAAGGAGAAAGTAGAAATGGAGAAGGAGGAAAAAGAGGTGAAAAAGGAAGAGAAGGAGGAAGAGGAGGAGGTGAAGGAGAAAGTAGAAATGGAAGAGGAGAAGAAAAAGGAAGTGAAAAGGAGGAGGAGCTAGGAGGAGGAGGATATGGAGGAGGAGGAGGAAGAGGAGAAGGAGGTGAAGGAGAAGGAGAAGGAGAAAGTAGAAATGAAGGAGAAAAAAGAGGTGAAAAAGGAAGAGGAGGAGGAAGAGGAGGAGGTGAAGGAGAAAGTAGAAATGGAAGAGGAGAAGAAAAAGGAAGTGAAAAGGAGGAGGAGCTAGGAGGAGGAGGAGGAAGAGGAGAAGGAGGTGAAGGAGAAGGAGAAGGAGAAAGTAGAAATGAAGGAGAAAAAAGAGGTGAAAAAGGAAGAGGAGGAGGAAGAGGAGGAGGTGAAGGAGAAAGTAGAAATGGAAGAGGAGAAGAAAAAGGAGGTGAAAAGGAGGAGGAGGTAGGAGGAGGAGATGGAGGAGATGGGGGAGAAGGAGGAGGAGGAGGAGGAGGAG